AGAATGCATTGCGAAGTGCGAAGAAAACCACGGGAACTCGCGCTTCGAGAATGCTTTCACGTATCCTCAAATATTTAAAACTTCGATTTCTCACAATGTCTCAACATCGTGTTTCGTGAAGATCGCATTCAGCAAGAAAAAGAATTGCGAATTCCACTACTTTCAAATAAAACCAAGTCCACACTCGACCCACAGCAAAACATCTGCGTCATCATCTCAACCGACCTTAATGATTGTTCTTTAAATTTAAAATAAAAAAAGAAAATATATACAATTTTTTTCTGTAAATTTTGGAGTCGGAAAAACATGAAAAAATTCAGCAGACGAAGCCGTCGACAGCATAGACTCGAAGCCCCAAAGACCCAAGCACCTCTTCCGTCCCGGTATCTTGGACTTCAGTCTGTACCCTCTAAGGGTATCGATACCAATATCAAGATTCTTTTCTCCTCCGCGCTAAATCATTCATTCCTTTCTTCTGTTAAGACGGCGTCACAACCAAGGCTCCGCATCCCGTGCCGGTCAACGTGGTTTGACCCAAAAGGACCTCAGCAGCGGCACCCCCACGGCCGTAGGCCCGGTCAGAGTGTGTATGTATATTTTTGATTCTGACAGGGTGCTTACCTGTCACCAGCTTTATACGACCGCATCATACGCCTGTGGTGTATAATTATAACAGTATGTTTTGGTACTCGTACCTTGTCACGGGGGTTCGATGATGACATGGCTTCCGTCTCCGGTGGAGGGGGGAGGGCCCAGTAGCCGTTGAATGGGCGGCTGTGACCGCGGTGAAGGGGGGAAGGAGGGGGGGGGTCCAATGAGAATGGGGCTATGATAAGTGAATGACGATGAATGCGGCGTGTTTCCTCCTGTCCCAACCCTCTTCTCCTCCTCCTCCTTTTTGCTTTTTTACTTTTACTTTTTCCTACTTTTTGCCATTCATCTTTAACCCCTTCACATTTCACCAATCACCGTATTTTTGTTTGAGATATACTTGAAATATATTTTCCCTTTATTTTATTTTTTTATTAATAATGATGAAACCTCGCACTTTTCTTATGTGTCAAAATTTTCTTTGTCAACGGAAACATAGCTTGCAAATTTTTCAAATGATCCTTGGTTTGGTTTGACAATAGGAATAATTTTTCATATTTTGAATTGATAGTTAAACACACACACACACACACGCACATACACACAGGTAGTGGAGGACTTTTTACAATTTATTGAAAATTTTGATTCCGTTTTTGTCCTTTTTAAATATGAAATCATGGTCTGGAATTTCCATCGTCATTTGTGTGGGGTGATGAACTCTTCTCCAGTGAAGATGTTAAAAAGTTATTAAAGTAATCCGTTTAAACCTATGCAAACCCTTCAAGGTTTGAATTTTATTTTGTAAATAAACATATTCCAGGTTACAACTTGATTGCAGTAGTAACAAATTTATCTGAATATGGAATTTGACACACATGGTTGCAGAAATCCATAATTAGATTATTAAAACATTTCAAAGAAGGTGGTCGAAGGTATTAAATTGTGCTTGAAAACTTCAAATGATCAGAATCGAGTTGGACAAATTGAATTGTATCTGCTGGTTAGAATTGTTGAGAACCCTTTGTACTTAAGCAATTGACATTAATGAATATTGAATTGAAATTCTAACCCAAATTAGTCAAACACTAGATTAAAAAAGTTGTACCCACATATCATCAAAATTCTTGTGCTAAAATGTATTATTTTAAAATACACCTTATCTTTATGGATTGTATATTATTCGAAATATTCTAGACCAGTCATGTTTTATATTTTTTTTCTGTGATGTTTTTATAAATTGAAAATTAAAAATTAATTTTTATACAATTTATTATAAATAAATATATTGTTATAAAAGATAACCATGTTAAAATAAATATTACAATCATCATTAAGATATCATTTGATAAATGGTTTCAATAACAGAAACTGTTTAGTGATATTTATCAGTTTTTGTTATCAATAATATTTATTAAATGGTACACATGATCAATTACCAGTTTTTGTTATAATTATAGTTTTATCATAATTGATTTCACAGTAGTATTTATGCGATGCTTTTATGATAAAAATAATTTAAAAAATAAAAAAGATGCACAATAATCTAACAAAAAAGTTAGTTAAAAATTAAATTAAATTTTTTATTAAATTCAAAATAGAAATTTAACATAATAAAAACATCTCGTATGAGATTATTGATAAGTCTAATCTAAAATTTATTTAGACATGTAAACTCATTATTAGTCATTTATCTTTGTTCTTATGATTATTATTAATTTTTTTTTAAAAAAAAAAAAAAAAAAAAAAAAAAAACAGGCGTGTGCATCATTATGCGTTCTTTACATTATTAAAGTTTTATTTTATTTTTGTCATTGGTTTTTGAATTTTTATACACTATTCTTTTTGCATGTTACCAACTTATAAAATATATATATTTATGTTGTGTAGTTATGAAAATGTGGCAATAATATATATATTTATGTTGTGCATATTATTGTTTTTAACTTGTAAGGATATAGGTAGACTTTACATTTTAGGGAAGAAGGCGAGAAGTCTCACCTTTTGAATCCTTGATCAGTTAAATAAAGAAGTCTCATTTTGTTAGCCATATCCTACGGGAAATTAGCTTAAAAATTGTATGAAAAAAATGTAAGATTGATTTTTTTTTTTTTTTTATTTTTTTTTTATTTTTTTCACATGATAAATTGTGTTGTCTCTCAAATTCTATGGTAAGTCCATCTCCAGAAGTGGTTTTCACTAAAAGTAAAGGAGCCATATCAGTCTACTTTATGCAATTTTCAGGACAAAATATATGAGCTAACATATTGAGATTTATGATACAACATAAAAATAAGAATAAAAGAATAATCCATTTAAAGATCTCTCATTTCTTTACACTATCTTTGAAGAATAAGGGTTTAAAAGGACAATTATTCTTTTTGAAGGATACCTTTTGAAGTCTTTTGTACCATAGCTTTTCTAACTGGACTTCAAGGTATAAAAACCCCCTTCTTAATATGAATTAAACATGACGTGACTTTTAATGCTACTCTTTGTTAGTCTTAAATGTACTTTTATACAAATAAATATATTTTAACAAACATATTATTTTTTGTTTTTAAATTTTAAATATAAATTTAAGTAATTATCAAGAAAGATAATTTTAAGTTATTTTTTATTTTTTTTATCTAGTTATTGGTAATTATAAATTTTTGTATAAACATAAGCATAGTTGTATTAATATTTACAGAACTTACATTTGCAATTGTTTGTAAATGAACTTTTATGAGTGAATGTATTTAGTTCAATTCTATTTAAGTCTATATTAGTACATATAATCCTATGGAACACAGAATTCTATTGTATTTTAAATATGTATTTTAAACTTAGCTCATTACTCTAAAGAAAATCATGTTTGAAACTAGATATAAATTTTGCATATTGCAAAAATTAGGGTTATTCATGCATTGATTGAAAATGCAAGTTTAATAATATAATACGTAAAATCCAAACACACCTCATTAATCATAATTTTTCTATTACTTACTTTTGAAATCAAAATTGCAATTGAATAATACCTTAAAGATGATTTATAGATGTACTTTAGAGACACAATACTAAGTTTTGAAATTTACCCCAATTTCCAAAAAATCATAGATTCACGAGGACTGCACATTAGAAATGGAAGTATTTTGTATAATAGCAAACATAAATCATCTATGATAATGATGTAGATTTAAATATACATCTAATAACTCTTCCCGATTTTCCTGAATAATTTCTACCAATTTTTTTAAAAAAACCCAAAGTGTGCTCAAGACATAAGAAGTTTTAAACTAAGAGTAACAAACACACCATGAAACCATCTTAAATGAGAATTCCAATACATTAGACACATTTTAAAGATAGTAATTAGACTAATTTAATGTTTTAACTCATGCCAATAAACACTACACGACAAAAACCTCTTTCAAATCTACGAAAGTCGTTGACCAGCCACACATGCAGACGAATGAGAAACCGAATGGATGAACGGAAGCGACTGAGGAACCAGGTCAGCAAGGGGGTCGGGGCGAGGAAGGTGGGGGAGGGGGGGGGGATGGAGAGTGGGTGCACCCGGGTGGGCCACATCAGCACCAACACCAGCCCCAGGCCCGGCCAGGCCTAATCCCGCCGCAGATGGGCACAGTCTCCTACCCACCCACCTGTGCAGGGTCAGTAGGAGCCAGCCGGGCACCTCTACGACCCCCCCCCCTCCTGCTTGCTGGTAATAATCCCCTTGTTCACACTGGGCTAAAACAACACAACAACAAAATACCAATATCAGCGCCACCACCGCACGATGGCAGCGAACTGTGCGTTGAGCTCTTTCTTTCTCTTTCTGTGTGTGTGTGTGGCGCCTGCCTGCCATTGCCTCGAATGCTCTCTCGAGATAGTGTAACTGGCGCATGAGTTATACACGGCCTTCCCTCTCGCTCTCTCCCCAAAAGCTTTTCAAACCTTGGGGATGTAGGGATAATGCGAGAGAGAGAGTGTGAGGCGTGGTGCGTTCCTAGTGTAACTGAGCGCGCTGACGCGACTGGCTTCAACAGCTGGGTAAATCTCTCAAAACTAGAAACAATGAGGAGAAACTTCCCTGGTGAACGGATAAACACAAGCGAGAGAGGAATCTCTTAGATGGATATGGACTCGGTAAAGGGACAAAATACGGAGTAGCTCAAGGGAGAAATAAGAGCCAATTCTTAAGGGGAAGAAAGGGTGGGGGGGGGGGGGTATACATAAGGCTACATGTAGCTTGAAGGCAGGCAGGGAGGGAGGGGTTGTAGGGGCTATGGATTGATTTCCGGAGAGAGAGAGAGAGAGAGAGAGAGAGAGAGCGCGAGCTATGGGGTGAGAGAAAGTCTTGGTGGGGAAGAGGGAGGGAGGGAGGGATGGAGGTGGGCTCTCTGCCTGGCACCTATATTCATACATACATACAGCACAGCACACACACACACAGGGAAGGAAGGGCGGCGTGGCCACAGGGCGCTTGATTCTTGTCGCCAGTCCGGGATCAGCACCGCAAAGTGTGCGCTCTCCGAGTAGAGTAGACCACCATGGCTGCCCTGCCCGAGACGAAATAATTTTACCAATATAGCCGCTGCGTCGGCATCACCTTTTCCCACAACCACCCAGTCGGTCCCACTCGCCTCGCTCGCTCGCTCCATCGTTCGCTCGCTTCCTCGCTTGGAATCGACATTACTGTACACCCTTCCCCAGTGCGATCTCCGCTCCACTATTTCCCCTCCCTTGGTTCGTTGCCCCTCGCACTCTCCGTTTGCTGGGCCCTTCTCCAGTGGTTAGCATAATCAGCTTTAATTTCCTTTCGGTTCTGGTCAGTTGCAACGTTCTCGGCGTTCTGCTGTGGAGTGGTTTTGATCCTGATGTGCGTGTGTGTGTCTGTGTGTGTGGCTTCGAGGTTGTGAGTTCGTGTTTGAGTCTTGGATGCATGGAGAGGTTTCTTTCGTAAGTCTTGACGTGGGTTTGGGGGAATAGATTGTTGAATATAGTTTGTTGATGTTGTTTGTTCTTTTTCGGTGCGTTTCGGGTGAGGTGAGTGTGTCGGTGAATTAAGACAACAATGAACTGGATCGACGCAGTGAATTGGTGTTTTTGGGTTTCTGTGTTGTTGTGGGAGTGATACGTGACGTTCAGAGTTTAGTTTTACACCGAGTCATGTGGTTTGAGGTTTGATGAAGAGCCTTCGTTGAAGTGGACTTCTTTCCTTCACGAATTCTTCCACGGTACCCATCTCCTTCCTTGTTAGCGTCTGATTTTGTGTTTCGTTTGGTCTTAATTTGGAGAATGCTTCGTTGGGTTGGGGTCTGTGAGAGAATTGCTGGGTCTTTTGTTTTCATTTGTTGAGTTACTGCTGTTCACCCGCTCCGAAATTCGCCTAAATTTTGATTGCTATTTTTCCGCCGTGGCATCTTCAACTGCCACCTTATTCAAGCATTCATTCCATCTTCACACTTGTAACCTCGTGAAAGCTCCTTGATTTTTTTTGTCCTCCGTCTTCATTGTTAGCCCTCACTTTTCAATGTCTTTCAAACCTTCGGCCTCTTTAATTCCTGCCTTTCCCCGATTTTCGCATTTGCAGTTATATTGCTGATACTTGCAGTGCAGATCTGAAGCTCACGAACTATTCTTCACCCCTTCTCGAGGTATACTAAGTCAAACGAAACCTCTGAGCGTTTCGAGCGTTCTAACTGAAGAACGAACTGAAGCGTGAAGTATTTCCGAAGGAGACAACCGGCGGAACTCCGTGCGTTTCAGTAGTAGATGCCATGACGAAGTGCAGGACCAACCCCCGCATACAGCACTGTGAGGCCAGCCTCATTGTAATTGAAGCCTAGGATCATTTTCCATAGATATCTGCTGCTGGCTGCGGTGAATCTTCATAACGATCGAGTTCATGAGTATCAATTTTTAAGGCCGAAAACGGAGACCCACAAGAGAAGCCATGGAACCTTGTGCTCGAGGTCGTCACAACCACCTCCAACTATAGCATTACGCCAATCCGAAGCCGCTTCAAGTTCACGGCAAGATCCCGCGCTTCCTCCATAACCCCAGATTCAAGGAAATTCTTCCCCACGTAGATAACAGTCCCGCAACAGTGTGCCTAGCTCCAAGTGTAGTCCCCGGGGACGAGTTTGTCCGCGGAGCCCTCTTGAGATATCAGTCAATCTATGGCAGCTCCATGGCATCAGGAGCCGCAAGGCAAGGATCAGAGTCAGCGAGTAGAGTCATTCTTGCCTCCTGGCTTTCGGTTCCACCCCACGGACGAGGAACTGGTCAGCTATTATCTCACCAAGAAGGTGCTTGATAGCAGATTTGCAGTTCGCGCCATTGCGGAAGTGGACCTCAACAAGTGCGAGCCCTGGGACCTTCCTGGTTAGCTATTCTCCTACCTCCTCGTATACCTGCAGTAAGACACAATCAGACGCGCGAGATGTGCACTCATCTCGCACTTCCTCAAATCTGTGCTGGAACTCGGTTTGTGGAAATTCGGTTGCCAGTGTGTAGATTGCAAACCAGATAGCATTGGAAACTGATGTGAATTGTGATGTGGTACGTGCTGCAGAGAAAGCCAAGATGGGAGAGAAGGAATGGTACTTCTTCAGCTTACGCGATCGTAAATATCCTACAGGCATGCGCACTAATCGAGCCACCGATGCGGGATACTGGAAAGCAACTGGCAAAGACCGAGATGTGCTTGCTCATGGACGACCTCGTTTGATAGGCATGAAGAAGACTCTGGTGTTCTACATGGGCCGCGCCCCCAAAGGGGAGAAGACCAACTGGATCATGCACGAGTATCGGTTGGAGAATGATGGTGGACATCCTTTGTCTCCTCGCGCTAACAAGGTAGACAGCGATTACCATTTTAATTTTTCCCTTTACAGTCGCAATTCTCTCAGGAATCTCCGAAGCGCGCGTTGCATGTCGAAAACCTTTGACAAAAATTTCGGTTGCAGCTTGGGTATGATTTTGTTTTCTGAGACGTTCGTTGTTATTGAAATTTGTACGCAGGACGAGTGGGTGGTGTGTCGTATTTTCGAAAAGAGTTCAGGAGGGAAGCGAGGTTTTTCGATGTCAGAATCTCATATGCGCCAAGGCATGGCGTACCAGCTTGAGGATGCGAGATCGTCTTTGCCACCGTTGATGGACAATGAGTCGCCGAATCCAACCGTCATTGATGAAAGGACTGCCACCAACTGCGAGACGTTTGTCGAGACAGAGCAGATGTCTTGTTACAATCGCGTCCAGGACTTTGATCACAAGAAGGAAATGAATTGCGTCATGTCGTGGATTAATGTGCAACCAGCTGGAATGGACATGGTGCCGCAAGTAGGAGGATTGAGCAGTCTTGACAACGGGCTTCCAAAGCCATATCCCGGGAACGAAATCTGCGAGAAGAGTATGAGCTTGTCAAGGCAGGCAGGGTTTAACCAACAAGCATTGATGCAATCCGCCAACATGACAACGACTACGGGATTCCGGGTTACAAGCTTGCGGCCGAAGACAGAGCCATTGTCCTTCAGCGAGGGCGAAGATGAAGCACAGAGCACCCAGAAAGGTTGTGACTATGTAAATTGGCCTGCCGATTTAGCCGGTGCGTCTCTCTATCAAAATGACGGCACAGAAGGCGACTCGTCGTCGCCATTGCAAAGCTCCACTGGAGGCACCGACTTGTCTTGCTTGACTGGAAGTCTCTGCAGCGGCGAGAACATGAGCTTCGACTTCAAGTACCGACTCCAAGACATCACTGCGCCTGTCGATTCTGGCCACGGCCCCGAAATCATTGGCTGGGCCTAATGAATCAATTAGTTAGGGTTTCTCCAGCGCATCCATTGCATTTCAAGTAAAGAGTTGGGGTTCGGTGCGAGACACTGGAGAAGGATCGCTCGTAAACTGTAAAGTTCCAGACCAAAACAAAAAAAAAAACCCAAAACCCCCAAAAAAAAACAGAAAAAAAGAAGCAAAAACACAAAAATCGGTGATCCTCCTCGCACTCGAGCTGCCCTCACATCCATGGACTTGGCCTAACCCTACTTATAACCAGCTGTGTAGACCATCTTTATTGTACATTACCTGCTTCACATGTTTGGAGATTGCTAGGGACCTCGATACAATGGCGCGTTGTGGAGTTGCGAGGGCTATTCCAGCAGTCACACGCTCACTGATTGTAACAAGGATCCGCAATCTGCATCCATCTGTACATTTGTAATCGAACGTGTACTTTATTTGGGTGAACACAAAACCTGTACATATGTAATTCTTTTCATTATACTGATTGCACATGCAGCTTGCACACGGGAAGATTGGCAGGCAAGGACAACACTAGACAACCAGGAACGAGGCCCGTGTCTGCAACGAAGGATAGGGTGCTTCGATGTTTCCTGTCTGTAATGGCATCACAGGGTGGGTATATTATGAAGAGCAGACGGAGTGCACTTGATCTGATTCAGATGTTGCCTGTAAAGGCATTGCTTTCATTGCCACATCAATACACGTTGCTTGCTTGACACCATCGCCAGAATTCTTCACCCGAATTGTGGCAGCTGCGACCCTGTTTTCGGTGTGTATGTGTGTGTGTGTGTTTTTTTGGGCTGTTTGTTTGTTTGTTTGTGTGGAGGCTAGATGTTTCGATTCCACAACCAGTAGCTGTTTGCAACGATTTTTTCTTCGTGGTTTTCCACAGTGTCGATGGTACATTCTGATGTTTCTCAGCTTAGGACCCGATGGAATCATCGGCAGTGTGTATGAATGGGTGTGTCGGTGTCTCAACGCTCTCACAAAGTGGAATTTAGTTTAGGGTTCCTCAACTTAAATGAACCTTTCTTATTCATGCATACCCATGCCACTTTAAATTAGGGCTTTCCTCGAAATACCTAATTTATCTTATTCTAAATTGTGGCCAGGTTGTATTTTAAGTAAATTAGAGATGGATGAAATTCATCTTAATAGTTATCTATAATCATCCATCTTTATCAAATTTGATAGACTTTGTTGAATTGTTTCAAGTATATGATACTCTCAAGTGAAAAGTTGATAAGGCATTGTCAAGAGTTATTATTCTCCTACTCGATTACAAAGAAGTCAGATTCAATAGTGCTTGTATTAGGAAAAATAGACGCTAGCTTGCTACAAAATCCTTGAAGTCATGGAAATTGGCCATTGCAATGAATCCATTTGATGTGAAATTTTGTTTGCAAATTAAAACACTTGTCAATAATATTCTTGAAGGTAATCTCCTTGCGGTAGGTACACATCATAGCTCAGTGGTCATTTTCAATATCCTTGATTAAATGAGCATCCTTCCTAGCTAATTCCAATTGCATCTTATGCCTATGGATGGAGATGCACAATAGAGACGTCCATAGCCTACACAAATTGTATGACAAGACTTTTGAAATGTCATCATGGTTGGCATTGTTGTTATAATCTTGTTAAGCAATAATAAATACAATGTTGTTAACAAGACCATTAAACAAGGCTACTTCCAAACAAACCATAGTCTTAGCCTTGATTGTCAGTAGCAAAGCTAAAGTGCTCATCATAAAGGTATCTTGATCTTAAATAAAGGCCTCTACAATCATGAGAGCCACACACCAAGATTCGTAGATGACCAAGTTTGAGATGCAATAAATCATGGCCAGAGTCTCTACACTATGTGGACCTTGCACTTCACACAATAAGACCAACAACTAATTCAAGCCTTTGACTTGGACTTTCTATTGCTTCAAAAGGGTGTTGAGTCCTTATAACCATGTCAAAATAATAGAAATTACTTCGACAACATCATTGAGAAAGAGCAATACCACCTACTAAGAAGGAGGATGAATATATGTAGGCTACTTTTGTATAAGATACTCGCAAATTACTGTATGTCCTTGCCACAAAAAACTTGATAGTTTTTTCATAGATGACCACTATGTGTCCATGAATTTTGGGCATATATAACCTATTTTCTTGATCAGATTGAATTGCTAGCAAGGTAAGAGATAAGCTCATCAAGATATTGATAACTGATTGTCATACAACTTAACATATTAGGTGTCATGGACAAACATATTTATGCCAATAGTTACTTAAATAATATGAATATATAAAAGTAAGTAAAAGTAGATTAATTTAATAATATCTTTTGAAAAAGCTTCTTAAAAGCGTTATAGATGGAGTTTTATCTTTATATGTGTCTATAGGTGATTGGTAGGTTATAAACTCAGCTAATAAATTAGTCACATGTTGCACATGTTAGTAGCTTGTAGTACAAGCTAATGATGTGGCATATATATAAGAAACTTACCTTGCAAGTTAAGACATGTGTCTTGCAAATTAGACATTTGTTGGAGGTCTTATAGAATGTCACCACATAATTCTAAGTTATATAGTATATATGGAAGAAGAATGAAGCCTTTTCCATTCTTGTCAATTTTTTTTTTTTTTTTTTTTTTTTTTTTTTAGTTTCAAGTCTATAAGTTTTTAGTCTTTGGCAATAGTTATTCCAATTTCTTCTTGAATATACATATTTTTTGTTATCATTTTTCCATCTCTCTTTGATACTTATCTGAGTTGTTTACGTATCTTTTTATAGTTCATGTCTATAGATTGATAAGAGTACACTTATAATATCAAATCTTTGTCTTTTCTTGATTAAGAATGGATTATTTTTTTCTCTTGATAAGACATAAGCTTATTACAAGTTACAGATTATCCACTTCTAAATTGATATTCTTAGAATTTCTTTTGTTGGCTAGTCTTCTTTTCTATTTATCTTGAGAGATATTAGATATCTTCTTTTTTATTGCATAATCATGGCACATCTTGTTGAAATGAAAAATACAATAGCACAAATGGAAGAGCAGTTGAAGGAATTAATGCTTGTAATGCATCAACTCAATTTACCACCACAAGGAGCAATAAGATTGGTAGGAAGTGAAGATATAGAGATGATTGGAGCTGCTTCAACATTTACACCAAATCATGTTATTCTTCCTATGATAGAACACTGATAAAAAATTAGAGAACCAAAAATTACCTTGCTTGAGAAATTTGATGGAATTAGATTAAAATTTCAAAGATTCATTAATTGAGTTCAATTAATGATTAAACTTCAACCTCAAAACTATCCAATTCCAAGACCATAAGTCATGTTTATTAGAATGCTACTCTAAGATTCTACTTTATCTTCATTTTTATCTTTTCTTGAACAATATGATTCAATATTAGATAATTTGGAGGCTTTTTTGATAGAATTTCAATCTATATATGGAAAACATGATGCAATTTGTGTTGCAACTAATAAGATCCTTATTTTGCTTCAAAGAAATCAATTTGTAATATTATATGCTTTATAATTTGAACAATTTATAATTAATATTAAGTAAGATGATGCTACATTTATTAGCCAATTTTTCTACGGATTATAATATGAAGTAAAGAAATTAATGCTCAACTTATTTGATCCTCAAACATTGAGTCAAGTAATTGATTTTATTATGAAATGTAACAATTGACTTTTTAAATTTCAATTTGAGAGTCATACAAGTCAGCCTCAACATCTTAGAATTCAATGGCAATATTATTGCCTTTTCAATACATACATTTGAAAGTGGAAGACATGTAAATTGACATGATATATTTTAATCCTCTTATTAAGCAAAAAAAGACTTGGCATAGTCAAAAGAGACTATGCTTGTATTAAGGAGAATCAAAACATACTACTCAATATTGTCTGAAGAAGCGATACAACCACAAAATGAGAATTATGACTGTCAAAGATGATAATATGTCAAAAAATAAATTTTTCTAGCTATAATAAGAACCATTATCGTGATGCACTTAATTTAAGTGCATCAAAGTTATTTGAAGGATAATTAATCTCATTGGTAGGAGAAGAAGAACATAAGGTAATATATTTACAAATTTGAATGGAGATTTACAATAAGAAGCTATTGATTTGAATGAATTATTTGAACTTGAAGATATTATCTTTTAGAATAGACACTCAATTATATAGTGGTTCAAGGCGGATATTGGAAAAAAGTAAGGGCAAGGATTTTAAAATTAAGCAATTTTTTTTTATTTTTTTATTTTTTTATTTTTTGCTAGAATTTTTGAAAAGAGAGAATCAATACTGATTTGGATTTTTCTACTCCACTAATTATATTTTTATCTTTTTGTGATAATATTTTGAAAAAAGCTAAATTTGATTGTGAGCTTTTCAACAAGCTATAAGATGTAAAAAATGGAGCTAAAAGTAGAGAGATCCAAGCAAATTTGTGGGATGGAGTTGCTAGAGTTTTTGGACAATAAATTTCAAAATTAATTTGGAATTTTCCATGCTATTTATTTATTTATTTATTTATTTATTTTTCTTTTTTCTTTTTTCTTTTGTATTTTCAATGAGCTAAACTTTGCCTAGAATGAATTAGTAATAAGTGAGTTATAGATGTTTTAGTAAAAAAGGATTTGGTTTTGAGATTAAAGTTTAAGATTGGGTGCATCCTAATACAAGAAAAAATTAGTCTATAAATTATACATAGTCTTTGGATTGCCTTTTATATTTGATTTCTAGTTGGTGATTTTTGAGGGACTGATGCAAGTGCCACTAAGGGAGAAAGTGCTAATGATTTGCTTCTAGTTTTGAATATGTTCAAGGAGAGATAGCAAAAGGTACAATCACATGAAAAAGAAGTAACTAAGGCATTATAAGGCGTAGTCAACAAACATAGAAGGTTCAATGGAAAGAACATTACTAAGTTTTTCCAAGCATATGTTGAAGAGATGGAGGTATATTAAATCCCCAAGTCTTATCATATCTTTAATTTTGAATTGACGTATATTCTTGAAATTCCAAAGGACATAAAGAATTTTTACAGAGATAATTTAGAGGCCTAAAATGACTTTGAAAGAAACTTAAGAGATGATTTTTTTGATAAGGATTTAGATAGAGTCACAAAGAGATTATTTTTGGAATGGATTGAATAACAACTCGGAAAATTTCCGGCCTCTAACAAGTTTTTTAGGAAGTTTGAGAAAAAATTCTGTCAACTTTCATCATTAGAGAGACTTTTATTCGATGAAAATAAGACCAAGTTCTTCTTAGAAGCAATAGATGAAGTACTAGGAGATATATTTTTTGTCCTCTTAGTTGATAAGTCCACCAAAAGAAATTTAATTAATGATTTGAGTAGAATGGATGATGCGGTACTATTGGTGACTAAGCAACAACAGATGAAGGTAAGAAGAGGGACTTTTAGTCATGAAGCTCTACCACCTATGATGCCAATTATTCCATCAAGTCTAGTAACATCTATTCTAATCCAAGAAATATATAAGACTCTTCTCAAAGACATTCTTCACAAGTTGATTAAAGGCATGAGAAAATTAAGAGTAGAAATGAATAAGTTGAAGAAGAGCCAAAGGGCTACTTCTTTATGTGCATCCGACGGATTAAGGAATTTGTTAGGAGGTGCATGTATTGTAATAGTCCCGAGCATGAAAGGAAAGATTTCTTTGA